CTCCCCCCCCCCCCCCCCCCCCCATAACGTTTCTAATGGTCCGTCCCTAATGACTACGGGCGAATAACAATATTTTACCAGGTTAGTAACACGATCGCATGACTATTTGGAAGATCAAGTTCATAATAGATTCTACAGTAAACACAGGCGACTCGTTCGTTCGGCAGTAAAAATTTCGCTTTATTTTCCATCACAAACGTAACAGCTCCTCTGCGCCCTGTGCTTCCCGCATTCAGGGAAACATAGTTGGGGGGTCGGGAGAGAAGGAGGTATCTTTGGCTTTTTAATTTATTCTGTCCAAGATTGCAGTACCTTTCGTAAAAAATAAGAGACTCCTAATATCAAGTGTATATAGCTGAATGATTTAAGAGACCCCGTGCATAAACCCATGATAAACCTAACTTCCGTTCTCAAAAGGGAACGTGCTGCATCGGGCTCAATTTGTTAAAATGCGATTACAGAAAATAATGGATTACATGGATTACGGACACTCACAAAGCTATCCAAAAATCTGCTATATATGTATACGAAGTCTATATGCTCTTGAAAACTGTAGACAGCCTTTTTGACTAACCTTTGATCCCTGAGATCCATCTTGTTGCCAATCAACAGCGAAGGGGTATCTGGCATATATTGGCGAATTTCAGTAGTCCATGAATCTTTGATGTTCTCAAATGATGTGCGATTTGAAATATCGAAACATAGCATAAATACGCTGGTTCCAGGGTATACGAGAGGCCGAAGACGGTCTTCCAAATCGCCGTTTATGTCCCAGAAATTAACGTGATATCTCGTTCCGTCTAATGCTATGTTGTCTGAGAAGTCACAGACCACCGAACTGTCTGCTTCCATCAACTGACCATTGGTGAAATTAAGTAGAAAGGAGGTTTTTCCAACCGATGAATCTCCAAGGAAAACTAATTTTACTGGCTCAAGATCGTTCTCCATGTTTTATCTTCGTTTGCTTCTACTGTGTAATGCTTGAAATTGAATGCGAAATTGAGAAATAGGAAACGGAAGTAACACTCACATTTTGACGTAACAGTGTTACGTCACTTGCCATGTTTGATCGCCCTGCGTGACTCGACAAACGATCATAGGTTTTTAGACCTTCTGGGGTTTGAGTGGGAAAGAAGAAATATTACCTTTCTTGCGTCATTCTTTGGTGTTACAGCAAACATCTATCCTGGAATCATCAAGTCTGCGAGCAAGGTTTGATTAATCTCTTCAGATTCTTTACAGCTTTGAACCAGGAAGCTTTCTTAGACGACCTGAAAAGTGTCCTTAATTCTAGAGCTGGTCGTTCATTTTCCCGTACGACCAAGCGGACCCCTTACTTGCAACATGTCAAAGTGATTACGGGGGTAGTTTTTTAAAACTCTTCCATAGTTAATGGAGGTGACTGGTTATGAAGCCCGGCAAACATCAAAGGAGCAAACAAAGATGCCAAGATTTATGTTAGAAGGTCCACGACCCTGCACAATCTTTTGTTTTGCGTTCATACGTTATGCATGAATTACGTAACCAGCACGTTTCTATTGGTTAGTTCCTCAGTACGGAGTAAACAACTATTGTGTTTTGTGCAGGGTCAAGGCCAAAAAAGAGAACAAAAACATACAACAAAGAACTTTGTCGGGTTTCATAACC